CCCCACTGTTGTTGTAGTTTGTGCCATTAATAGGCCTACATGTAAACACGGTGGGTCCACCAAAGTTAAATCCAGCCTAGATTTTTTTTCAGCATCCTCCAACCACAATCACACATTTCCCGGTCACAGCAATTTTATGCAAACTGCTAAGATACATTGGTCCGAAAAGACAACACGTCATTCTCAAAAAGAAAAAGACCTACAATGTCCGGTACTCGCATTCATAATTCATGCTTGAGAAGGAGGACACACGTGTCAAAATATGTACACAGAAGCTTTAAGGATATGTGCCCCAGTAGACGCAGCCTTGTTAGAGCTCTACCACTGGGCTGCTGCAAGAAAGATCATGAGCGTTTACAGCAGTCCATGTCAAGAGCCATAGTAAGATCCAACATGCGACTACACTCAGGGCGTAAACCGGGCTACGATTGGCTGAACCTTTGACCCATGAATATATTAAGTAGGCTTACGGTACTCTAGGAATTCCCGGTGTCGGTCTCATGCTTTTGACCGTCTTCTCTCAGCTTGTTTGGAGCGCTCATAGAAGAAGTAGAAAAAGAAGGAGGAAGAGGTAGAAGAAGGAGAAGAAGAAGAATGAGGAGGAGGAGATGAAGAAGAAGAAGAAGGAGGAGGAGGAGGTGGTGTAGAAGAAGGAGGAGAACAAAAAGAAGATGAAGAAATACAAGAGGGAGAACAAGAAGAAAAATCTAGTAGTTCACATGTTACTAATCGGGGACTTTTTCGTTTGTTACCCTACCTTTGGAGAGAGAGGGGGAGAGAGAGAGAGAGAAGAGAGAGAGAGGGGGGGGGGGGGGCAGAAAGCACTACAGAGGGAGGGTGGTGAGAGTGACAGGGAGGGAGAGAGGTGAGAAATAGACAAGAAAGGAGAGACAGTTTAGCAAACAAGCACTTACGCTCACACACACACAGAACACAGAGAAAAAGAGACCGTAAGTCTACCTTTCTAATGCATTCATGAGGTCAAAGGTTCAGGCAATCGTAGCCTGGTTTACGTCCTGTGTGTAGTCGCACATGTGTAGATCTAGATCTAATAGAGTTCAAAGCTGGTTCAAGACTCTAGTTCTAGTTTTATTTTAAATAGTTTTTGTATGAAAAATCAAAAATTGTTTTAGACATTTCTTGTTGAATTACTGCCAAGTATCGGCTCACTTTGCAGTTGCACATTGCTAAATGTCTCAGTCAAGAAAGTCAAAATTGTTGACTGCTTGTCTCTTACGTTTTCTTCTTTTATGACTTTTAACATACTGACACTTGTGTCTGGGTCCAGCGACTTTGCTTTTGTGTCTTTATCACATGTTGCCTTTATATTTTCATGCTACTTCAATCTGTGCATGTGAAGTTTGATGAAGATATTGAATCTAGGTCTTTCTCCTATGATACACCATTTAATGCAAAAGTATCAATGCCTACCGAGCACATTTTGTTCTGCTGATTTTTGGCCCCCGATGCGGGCGTGTTTTGTGGGACGAACTAACGGAAATGGTTGTTGTCTTCAACTCCCTCTCACGCCGCTTCTCGTGAATGGATATATATGAGCATTTGCCAAAAGGTGGGATACCTGGGTGTGACAAATGAGGTCCAAAATCAACTTTATGTAATAATTCAT